GGGGGGGGGGGGGGGGGGGGGGGGGGGGGGGGGGGGGGGCGGCTGGGTAGTGAAGGAGGATACGGGTCCATTAACTGTCCTGAGGTTCCCATCCTGCATATATCATTGGTGATCCCTACCAAATTATAGTCAAGACCCACGTACAGGCGCTTGGATAAATGATAGGAGGCTGTTTGAAAACACACCTGCTTTTACCACAGGAGGAAAGAAACGGATGAAGAAAACTAGAGAAAGGAAATATCAGCTATAGTAAAAACTGCACTGGCCCAGCTACTGTACTTAAGTAATTGCAATCATGTAGTAATGTCAAGTTAATCAGTCAAATCAGTAGATCCAACAGTAATGTCTATAAAACTATCACGTATAGTGTGTCACCTATCAAAAAAGAACAGTGAAACACCCAAATACTGAAACTGAGCAGTAAATAACATTGGCCTCCAGCCCAGTTGCTAGTTACATAATATAACAATCCTGAAACAAAATGCTTTGTGACTTAAGTGTTGCATACGTTTTGACCACCTTCACACAAACTGATGAATGCACAGAACAGCAGACAAGAATTACAAAATCCCCAGCTCTCCACAACACTTTGTTATTTGAACTTTCCTTTGGTTCCAATTCCACTCTCATAGCATGTTTATGATGTTTCACTTGCCTCCAGCTACAGTCTACAAACACAATTGTGGCTTGCTAACATTTTCCAGCGTGAACATTCAATTACTGGGGATCTTCAATTTCCTTTACATTTAGGCCGGGATGTCGAGCTCATTTCCATTTGGGAGTAAGGGAATTAAGAATGATTAAAAATGCACCAAAAGGGTGAGAACGAAATTCCACTACCAGGCTTAAATAAAGCATTCAAAAGATGTAACTTTTTATGGACTTCACTGCTTTAAGCTAGTAGAACTACAAGATTATTACTATATTGTCAGTTATGCAAACCTTATGCAAAATTTCTAGGTTCTGTTTTAAGATAGGATTAACTTCAGTAAAGTTTCAGGTTGTGTATCTTTGCTCCACCCTACAACATTTATAGGATTTATTTATTGAAGTGTGTCTCCACTCTCTAGCGCCATCTGAAATCTCAGAAAAATAAACCAAAAGATACAGCATAAAGGCAGAAGAATAAGGGAATAAAGAAAAGGTGTTCAATTTTATAATCCTTCTTGCTAAGTGCTCCGCCATGGGCCTGGTGGCCAGATATGAGTCACTTCTTCGTGCTTCCACTGCTGGAAGCAAAGTTGCCACTCTTCAGCGCCTTCCCACCTCTATCGATGCCTTCACCACTAAGTGTCTTCACTGGACCTTGTCAATGCAAACATTGCCAATGCCACTAGGTACCACATCGATTCAAATGACTTGGCTGCCATGAATCCGCTTCAGGCCCACCTCGCAGATGCAGCTGCTGTCGGGTCTTGTTCTGGGCCCAACTTGCCTCTGCCGCTGACTCCATAAATTCGAGTTGGCCGCAGACACCGCAAGGAACCCAAGCCTGCAGCAACCATAAGTCAGCCCTAGGACTGTCTCATCGATGCAGAAGCTGCTGGAAACCCAAACACTCTCCAATGCCACCGCCAAGAGTCCATGCTGGGCTTACTTACCACCACAATGCTGCCGCTGCGACCAAGCTCTTCAACAAGAGATAAGTAATATAAAAGAGAAAAAACCGAAAAATAAAGAAAGACAAAAAAGAAATGAAAAGAAAAGCAGACTTAGTGGGTGAACCCAGGCTCAGAGACTCTACTTCCCTGATGTCTATACTGGAAGATGAATATGAATATGAATGAGGAAGACCATTCAGTCCATCTTTAAACTCTTCAACCTTAAAGAACCTCCAATTGCTAATAGTATCCAAGTACACCCGAAGGACAATCAATGGTGAAGCCCATAAAGAGTTATATTTTTTAATGCTTTATTTAAGCTAGGTAGTGATACTTGGTCTCTCCCTTTCAGTGCGTGTTTAATCAGTCTTAATTCTATTACTCACAAATGGAAGTGAGCTAATCATCCTGGCCTAGACTGAAGAACTATCAGAAGTCCATTACAAACCCTCATCACCAATAGGCAAATCTACCGCATCAGGATTAACTAAAGATTTAACTTTTCTGTAACATTTAACATCTTACAGACCGCCAAGTGGATCTCTCTTCAGCCAATCTGGTTCAATGATGTTGTGGTGCTGGTTTTGGACTGGATTGGACAAGTCACACGACACCAGGTTATAGTCCAACCCAGTTATTTGGGATCACAAGCTTTCGGAGTGCTGTTCCATCAGATGAAGGGAAGGGAAGCACACAGGTACAGAATTTATAGGCAGAGAGATCAAAAAATGCTGAGAGTGGACATGGACACTACCATCATATGTGGGAATACCACTTATTCATGTACACAGCAGATATTTGTGACTCGGCAAATGTGGTCTACCTCATACTGAGTGAGTGGGGCGATTTCTCCGCCAATAAATTCTGTGCCTATGTGTTTCCCTTCACTTCACCTGACGAAGGAGCAGCACTTTGAAAGCTTGCGATTTCAAATAAACCTGCTGGACTATAATCTGGTGTTGTGAGAGTTCTGATCTGGTTCAAAGCTAAAAACTATTTCTGCAGTTTTTCAACAATTTCTCAGGATAGGTTTCACTCTTAAAGCCTGTACTTTCTGGGATTTGAATGATATTCAGGCCTTTAGGTAAGAGAACTGAATTGTTTGTTTTTATCCTTCAAGCAACGTGAGCATCATTGGTGAGTCCAGCGTTTATTGCTCATCCTCAGTTGTCCTGGAGAATGTGGTGATAAGCCCCTTTTTGAACCACTGTAGCCTTTGGAGAGCAGGGGTAACTACAGTGCTATCAGGAAAGTATTTCCCTGATTTTGACCTAGCAGCCGTGAAAGAATAGTGACATAGTTCCAAGTCAGGATGGTATGAAACTTGTAGGTAACTTTGGAGGTGGTGCTTTCCAATGCATCTGCATTTTTCTTCTGGGTGACAGTGGTCACAAGTTGAAAGGCACTTGACTGAACAAGTGGAGAGTATTTCATTACATTCTTGACTTGTGCTTGAGATTGCAGACAGGCAGTGCAGACATAGGTGGTGAGTTAGCACCGAAGAATTCCCAGCTCCTGACCTGCTCTTGAACCTACTTTATTTACATGTCTGTGTTAATGTCTGGCCAGTCACATTGATAAGGTTTGTTCATGTTTTTGTTAAGGTTTAGAAGAACAGGTCTTTCAGTATATATGAATAAGGAGCAGCTATGACATTGGGTGTGGGATGTGAATAAACCTTAGCAAGTCAAACTCTATCCACAAAAAGAAAACATGAGTGGTGGTGTCCAGCTCACCTATCAGTTTTGAATCTACTAACAGGTTTGTTGACTTAAATTTCTGCCTAGTGATAAACCCTAAAGTATTGATGGCAGGAAAATCAGCAATGGTAATTTCAATGTCAAGGGGAAGAAAGATTGCTTAAAAATCATTTATGGGATGTGGGGTTGCTTGCTGGGCCTGCATTTGTTGCCTATCCCTAAACGTCGTTGACATGATAGTGAGCTATCTTCTCAAGCTGCTACAGTCCCTTTGGTGTGTGTGTTCAGTACTTTTAGGAAGGGAGTTCTAGGACTTAAACCCAGTGACATTTTAAGGATCTTCAAACATCTGTCTATTCTAATCCCATTTTACAATACTTGGACAGTATAGCATTTCAAATTCCATTTGAGTAGTTCTTAAATGTCTTGAGATTCCTGCCTCTACCACCCTTTTAGGCAGGAGTTCTAAATAGTCACAACCCTCTATGGAAAAAGAAAACTTCCCTCAAATCCCATCTAAATATCCTGCTCCTTATCTTAAAACTGTGCCCTTTGGTTAATGATCTTTCTACTGAGTGGAAACATTTCTCCCTAGGGGATAGACAGAAGGTTCCCCAGGATGTTGCCTGGGATGGCGAAATCGAGCTCTCAGGAGAAACTCAGATAGGCTTGGATTATTTTATTTACGGCAGAGGGGGCTGGTGTGGGGGGCATGGATTGAGGTGTATAAGATTATGAGGGATATGGACAGTGTGAATAGACAGCAGCTATTCCCCTTGGTCAATCACAAGAGGGCACAGTTTTAGGGTAATGGCAGAGATTCAGAGAGGTTTGGGGAAACAAAAATGTTTTATTCAGTGGGTGGTGGGAATCTGGAATGCACTGCCTGGGAAGGTAGTGGAGGTTGGAAACCTTACAACATTTAAAACATATTTGGATGAGTGCTTCAAATATCTTAACAGTCAAGGATATGGGACAAGTGCAGCAAATTGGGATTAGCGTACTTTTAGCTGCAAGTCAGTAAAGACTTGATGGACCAAAGGGCCTTTTCTGCACTATAATGGTTATATTGGGGAACAGTAAATAAAAGAAGCTCAAACAGGCCTTTTTACAATGTTGTTTGAAAAGAAATTGGAATTACAAATTATTTATTCATTCATTCACTCTTTCTTTCATGGGATGTGGGTGTCGTTTCCTAAATACAAGAATTACTAGAAAACATTTCCAAATTAAATTGTTTGTAGTAATAAAGGCCAATTTCACGAATCATTTAGCCGAAGGACATTTATTTCCAATCGTAAACCATTAACTAATTTTGTCTTGTGGAAAACATTTGGCTCCGAATTGCAGTTCATTGGGTTGCCAATACATCATCAGGTTACATAAAGGAAACAGTTTAGTGACTAAATCCGTGCAAACTTTAGGTCAGAACTTTCCCATTCTTTTAGCTCATCACGTTCCTTCAGACATTTTTAGGCACTTCCTGACGTAAATACTATTCAGCATACATCTCCACAGCGCTCAAACTTGTTGTGTTCTTATTTATTGTTCCCCAATATAACCATTATAGTGCAGAAAAGGCCCTTTGGTCCATCAAGTCTTTACTGACTTGCAGCTAAAAGTACGCTAATCCCAATTTGCTGCATTTGTCCCATATCCTTGAATGTTAAGATATTTGAAGCACTCATCCAAATATGTTTTAAATGTCAACTGCTTAGCACAAGGATCACATTTATCCATATCAGATAGAGAAAGCCAGTAGTTTAGCAACAACACGCAAGAATTTGAATTTGCACTTTTTAAATAAACCTGTAACAATGGAGGTGCAAAATGAAACAGCATCAAACCCAGACAGGCAGCTCAGCAGAACTACTATGAGCTTCTAGTTGTCTGTCACTTCAACACATCATCATATTCCCATGCCAACATTTCTCAGGCCTGCTACAGTGCTCTAGTAAAGCTCAACACAAGCTGGAGGAAATAAACACCTCATCTTCCATCTAGGCACCTTAACACTGAGTTTAACAATTTCAGAGCATGAACTACTCCCTCCATGTCCATTCTCCATCCCTATATAGTCATAGAGATTACAGCACAGACCCTTCTTTCAAATCGTCTGCACTGACCAGATATCCTATACCAATCTAGACCCATATGTCAGCACTTGATCCATATTTCTCTAAACTCCTTCCTATTCATACACCCACCGAGATGACTTTTAAATGTTGTAACTGTAACAGCTCCACCACCTTCTCTGGCAGCTCATTCCATACATGCACCACCCTATGCATGAACAAGTTGCTCCTTAGGTCCCTTTTAAATCTTTCCCCTCTCACCTTAAACCTATGCCCTCTAAGTTTTGGATTCCTGGGAAAAAGACATTGACAATTCACCCTATCCATACCCCTCATGATTTTATAAACTCCTATAAGGTTACCCTGACAACCTGTCCTGGACTTCCCATGTAGATGAGACGGTCAAGAAGGCACAACAATGCCTCTTCTTCCTCAGGCGGCTTAGGAAATTCGGCATGTCCATAAGGACTCTCATCAACTTTTACAATGCATCACAGAAAGCATACTCTCCGAGTGCATAATGGCCTGGTACGGCAACTGCTCTGCCCAGAAAATTACAGAAGGCTGTGTGCACAGACCAGACCATCACTGAAGCCAGACCATCCACTGAGCAAATTACTACAGATGCTGGAATCTGTACTGAAAACAAATGCTGTCTGACCTGCTGTGATCTCTAGCATTTATTGTTTTCAGTTCCATCCATGGATCCCATTTACACCTCTCATTGCCATGGAAACACTGCCATCAAAGACCCATCCCACCCAAGTAATGCTCTCTTACAACCTCTTCTGTCAGGTAGAAGATACAGAAGCGTGATGACACACACCAACAGATTCAAGAACAGCTTCTTCCCTGCCATTATTAGACTGATGAGTGGACTCTCTAACTTCAAATAACGTTGATGTTATTAAAGTTGATCTTGCTTCACGCACGTCCTGCGGTTTTAACTGTACGCTTCACTGTTCAAGTGTTCTTCACCCTATGAGCTGTACGTCCTTTCTTACGATGATCTGCTTGTACTGCTCACTTTTCACTGTTCTTAACTACATGTGACAATAAATCCAATCAATTAACTCCTCGACCTCCGAAGCGCCAGGGATGAAAGCTCCAGCCTATTCAGCCTCTCCCCACAGCTCAAACTCTCCAACCCTGGCAACAATCTTGTAAATCTTTTCGGAATCCTTTCAAGTTTAACATCTTTCCTAAAGCAGGGAGACCAGAATTAAATGCAGTATTCCAATAGTGACCTAACTAATGTCCTGTACAACTGCAACATGACCTTCCAACTCCTATACTCAATGCACTGACCAATAAAGGCAAGCGTACCAAACGCCTTCTTCGTTACCAGTCTACTGTGACTCCAGTTTCATGGAACAATGAACCCGCACCCCAAGGTTTCTTTGTTTTGCAACACTCCTCAGGACTGGTCCTGCCCTGCATTGGTTGCTCCCAGCACAGCCAATCCTCTACTATCAGCGATTCCTTTGTCTGCTTTCATTTTTCTCTATGGGCACCACCTCCACCTATTCATCTCACTCCTCCTCCCTTCCATCCTCCATCATCACATAAACACCACCATTGCCCAGCTGCTTTCAATTCTGATGAACAATCACTGGACTCAAAATGTTAACTGTTTTTCTCTCTGCAGATGCTGCCAGATCTGTTGAGTTTGTCCAGCACTTTTTGTTTAAAATCTGAACAAAGACACATTAGAGCAGAAAAAATACAAAGACCAATCATTTTTTTCTCATTAATGTATTTGCAGAGGTACACATACACATCTTCCCCATGAGGAACCATTCTCCCAGAATCCACCTTGTTGAGTCTCCATAAGATGCGTGAATAAGATCACTTCCTTTCCTTCCAAACTCTCAGATACTGACCCAACTTTTCTTCAAAAAGTTCCTCCTAGGAATGAGTCAAATGAACCTTCTCTGAACAGCTTCTAATCCAATTGTATATTTTTAAAATATGGAGATCAAATCTGTCCACACTAATACAGCCTCTCGAAGATCTATGCCTTATTTTTATATTGCATTCCCTTTGCAATAAACACCAACATTCCATTTGCCTTCAGCTAGAATAAGGATTGAACCCCATACTGTTGGCATTATTGGGAAGCACACGCTACTGGTCTAGCCAAATGAGCTAACTAGCCTCCAAGAATACAACTATCTTAATAATGATCAAAGAAAGTATAATTTTTAAAAATAATTTAAAGGCTTACATCAAAGCCTTCAGCTTTTTAAAATCACTGACTGAGGATCTATAAAATCAGGACTAGTTAGAAAATATGATAATCAAAACTATTAATGTCCTTCTACTCTTTTCAGAGTTTTCATGAGTCTAAACAAGGATTCATAATGGCGTTACGATCAAACTGTGAGGTGACAAGAGTTATTAAACTAACTCTAAAGTGGATTCAGAGTCAATTGTGCAACTTGTTTATTGTGAAAAAAATCAGGCTAGTATCTCAATTAGAGGATAGCTCACTACTTAAACAGAACAAGTATTGTCTTGGAACTGGACTGGGTTCTCTGGCATGTTTCCACGTCAAAACGCAATGCATTTGTCACATGATTCAAATCTTAGAAAAAAAAACTTTTTTTACTCAAGTACATCACAAAGAGCATTTGCCTATTATATGGAACCCCTTGGACCAAAGACATTAAAAACAAACATGCTCACCCTGAACCATGATGCACCACCACAGCTGCAAGGTCATACAGGCAACTTTCTGGACGACTGTTCTCAGGCTAGAATAGGGTAAAATAAAATGCAAACCCCTTTTAAGACATTCAGATGTTATTACATTTTTTCTCTTCATCAGCTGAGTCACCATTTTCCATATCCCAATCTGTAATCTTACCTGATCAATTCCCACATTCTCATTCCCACATGAAATCTTACCTGACCCACTCCCACATTCTCTTCATCCCAACCTGTAACGCTAATTTCCACAATCTTCATGTCCTGACTTGTAACCTTACCTAACCCATTCCCACCTTTTCTACATCCTTACCTAAACTATTCCCACATTTTCCATTTCCTGACCTGTAATCTTACCTGACCAATTCCTATATTCTCCATGTCCAGACTTGTAACTTTACCTGACCCATTTCCACATTCTCTACATTCTGACCTGTAACCTTAGCTAATCCATTTCCACATTCTGCATGGCCCAACCTGTAACCTTACCTGACCCAGTCCTACTCCAAATCTCTCACTGATTTGAAAATGTTGTTAGGGCTCAATTTTAGGCTGACCATCGCAGATTCACCCATTATGGCTCATCAAGAATGCCCTCTCAGAATATCATAACTGGTTTTATTTTGAAAATGGGGAAAACCTTTCTCTAGTTAATAATACAGCATATTTGGTAAGGGTCACCTCTGCAACTGATGACAATGGTAACATTGGAGGATGAGAGATAGGGCAGAGAGATTTTCTACAGTGCCACATAGCAGAATTGTGAAGCAAGTTGTTGGTCATGATATAAAAGGGACAGTTGCAACATGATACAAAGTTGGATGAGTTATCGATAACAGAGAGTAATGGTCAATAAATAATTTTCAGGCTGGAGAAAGGTCTGCAGTGGAATTTGTTGGTATTTGGCCCTTGTTTCTCCTCTCTCCTGGACCTTGGTGTACAAGGAACAGTTTCCAAGCTTGCAGATGATATGAAACAAGGAAGAACTGTAAACTGTGAAGATATTGTGGAATTTTAAAAGGACATTGGTGAAGTGGGCAGATGAGATTTAATGCAGAGTAGTGTGAAGTGATGCACTTTGATTGGAAGAACATTATGAATGACAATGTAAAATAGGGGTACAATTCTAAAGGAGGTGCAGCAGCAGAGGGATCTGTGCACAGATCAATGAAGGTGGCAGGACAGGTGGAGAGACAGCAGTAAATAAAGCAGACACTGTTCTTAACTTTATTAATAGGGGCATAGAGCAACAACAAGGAGGGGATTTTGAATTTGAACAAGGTTATGTGTTAGACCTCAGCTGGAGTATTGTGTCACATGAGAGGAAATATGCAAATGCACTGGAGAGAGTATAGAAGTGATTTACAACAATGGTTCTAGGGACAAGAAACTTTAACTATGAGAATAGATTGAAGGAAGTGGAACCAGTTTTCTTCGAAAAGACTGGCTAAGGGATGACCTGATTGAGGTTTTCAAAGTCATAAGTAGGTAAAGTCAAGGTAGATAGGGTGAAGCTGTTGCTTGCTGGAAGCTTGTAAAAGAAACAAGAATAAGCAGGCATAGATTTAAAATGGTAATTAAGTGTAAATGAAGCAAGGTAATGTGAGAAATAACTTTTTCACAAAAGTTTTTAGGGTATGGAATTCTCTATCTGACATGTTGTGGAGGCAGGTTCAACTGAGACATTCAAAAGGATGTTGGATTTTTTTTGACTCGCAATGGTGTGCAGGAATATGGCAAAAAGGCAGGAGCTTGGTACTAGATAACAGAGCCAACCCAGGCGCAATCAGCCATTTGGCCTCCGACACTGCACTGATTACGAGTGACAGGGCTGAAAGTGAGGAGGGAGGGGCATTACTGCCCTGATGCCAGGATCAAAGATGTCCCTAAACTGTTGCAGAGCACCCAGAGGAGGAAAAGTGAGAAGTGAATAGCCAACAGACATGGTCACATTAGTACCAATGACATGTGTAGAAAAGAGGGATGCCACCCTGCAGTTCAAATTTAGAGAGTTAAATTGGAAATTAACAGACAGGGCCTCGAAAGTAATAAGGTTTAGTAAGGTAATGAAAAATAGTGCAGGAGGTTGAAACAGTGGACAGGGTCTGGGACACAAGACATGTACAGACTGGACAGGGATGGCCAACATCAATACGGCCAGAATAATTTCATGAGTCAGAATCAAAGGTTGGCAGATAGGATTGTAACTGAACAATGGGCTGTCTTTTAAAAAAAAAGGGACAGTTGTGCCAAAGCCAATATATATTACCAAAGGAGGAAAAGGTTGGGCATAAATAAATTCAGGAGTTTCCTGGATGACAAAAATAAAAAAAGATGGTGAAGAAAAAGTGTGCTTATGGTCAGACATCAGATAATCAGGCTGAACATGGAAGGTTCAGAGAAACTGTAAAAGCTAATTACAAAAGCAGACAGTATTTGCGAAGAGATTGGCAGCTAAAATAAAAGGAAATATTTAGGGTGGCACAGTGGTTAGCACTGCTGCTTCACAGCGCCAGGGACCTGGGTTCGATTCCACCCCCGTGTGGAGTTTGCACATTCTCCCTGTGTCTGTGTGGGTTTCTTCCAGGTGCTCCGGTTTCCTTCCGCAGTCCAAAGATGTGCAGGCTAGGTGGATTGGCCATGTTAAATTGCCCGTAGTGTTCAGGGATGTGTAGATTAGAGGGATGGGTCTGGGTGGGATGCTCCGAGTGTCGGTGTGGACTTGTTGGGCCGAAGGGCCTGCTTCCACACTGTAGGGATTCTATTCTATTCTATAAAAGGAAATCCAAAAGCTATCTACAGGCATACGCATCGTGAAAAGGTGGTAAAAGTAAGAGTAGGGCAGATTCAGGAAAGAGGTTTACTGTGAAGTAAGGACATGATTGAAGAACTAAATAAATACTTTGCTTTTGACTTCATCAAGATATAAGATGCCACATAAATCATATTGAAAAAGTCGTCAGACTCTTGAAAGGTTTAAAATCAAAAAGATAGTGGTATTGGATATGCAGTCTGTTCCTAGAGTTGAATAATCTTCCCACAACCAGATGAGATGCATCTAAGGTATTAAAGCATTAATGTGAGATGGAAGTTGAGGCAGTACTCAATATAATTTCTAACTTTTTCTTAGACTCTGGATGGTGCCAATGGACTGAAAAATATGAGCCCTTCTACACACTTGTTCAAAAAGAAGCCCAGCAACTACAGGCCAGTCAGCTTAACCAAGGTGGTGAAGAAATTGCTAGAAATTACAAATGGGATGAAAATGATGATCGCCTCCACAACTGTAAGTTAATTAATTAACAAAGCTAGTACAGATTTATTAAGGACTAATTGTGTTGAAATAACTTGTTCAAGTTTTTTTTTGATGAGGTGACAGCAGTGGTAGACAATGTTGTTTCAGATTGGAGAAAGGTTCAGAAGTACCCCAGGAGTATGTTAGGACACCTGCTCTTCCTGACATATTAATAACTTAGACCATAATAACAGGGCATAATTTTAAAAAAAAATCTGAGCGGCACAAAACTTGGAACCATTATGAATTACGTAGAACTTCAAAGGAACACAAGACAGATTGATTCATATTGGTATGAAGATTACAGAGACACAACAGTAACTAAACGGTATAACCTGAAAGGGGGTACAAGAGCAGAGGGACCTGATGTAAGTGTGCATAAACCATTGAAGGTTGAAGGATAGGTTGACAGAATGTTCGACAAAGTATCCTGGGCTTGATCCTTTCAGACATAGGGTACAAAAGCATGAAAGTTATGCCAAACCTGTGTAAAACATTATTTGGGGTTCAACTGGAGTATTGCACTAGTTCAAGCCACTACATTTTAGGAAGTGCATAAAGACATAAGAGAGGGTGCAGAAAAGATTCACAAGAATGGTTCCAAGGATGAGGCATTTCAGTTACTGATTTATGAACTTGTGACTGTTTCCTTATAAAAGAGAAGTTTCAGAGAAATTTAATAGAGGTATGCAAAAATCAAGGGCTGTAGATAAAAAGAAATTGTTCCCATTACTGGAAGAATCAAAAACTACAGGGCACAGATTTAAGGCATTTGGCAAAGGAATCTAATGACAACATGAGGAAAAACTTTGTCAGTAGTGAGTGGTTGAGATTTGGAATGCACTGCCCGAGTGTGTGGTGGAAGCAGGCTTAATTGAAGCAAAGGGAAATTGCTGATCAGAATGAACGTGCAGGATTGCTTGAAAAATTAGGGGAGTGGCGCCAGGTAAACAGCTCCTTCACAGAGTCAGCACAATCAGATTGGGCTGAATTACTTTCTTTTGTGTGGCAACCAAGAAAGGTATTCAAAAATTGAAACACAAACAATTCCTCTTTATACAGATACTGTCAGGCCTACTATGTGGTTCCAGATTTTATCATTTTAGAAAACCTTGCAAGTGTTTCTACTTTTTCTTTCCCGTCACTACTTCTAAAAATACTTTGCCTTATAGCACACCTGATCCTACCTATTACTTAGACCACAGCGTGTGAGAATAGTGGAGGCGGGGGGGTGGGGGGGGAGGGGTGGTGGAGGTGGTGGGAACAGTAAGGTCTGACAGTATACCAAATTTACTCATGTGCAAAGTTACTCATCACTATCTAACTTTCACCTGGCCAAATGCAACCAGTCAGGTCCCCAATCATTTTTTTTTTCAATACTATTTTCACAACTCAGTTGTTTCTCTTTACGACTTCAAGATGACATTGCTCTACATTTTTCAAATTACTGATGAATCACTTCTGGGATTGATTTGGATTGTCTAGTGGAAATGTTTAACTGTTACCAAGTAAATAAGAGCTCAAAGGTCACTGGGTTCATTGTTTTGTCAGGGAACTGTAAAGTGTGATTTTTATTGCAAGAGAAGCAAATAGCATTTTAAGACTGGTGTAGGAAGTTATACTGCAGGGCATGCGGATAGGCAGATAGAGACAGAATCATACAGCATCGAAACAGGCCCTTGGGCTCACATGTCTATGCTGACCAACTGACACCAAATTATACTAATCACATTAATCTGGACTTGGTTTATAGCCTGCGCTATGCCCTGGTATTTTAAGGGCTCATCCAGATGCTGCAAAAGTACCTACCTCCATCACCCTCTCAGACAACACATTCCACAGTTCTACCACCCTCTGGCTGAAAACATTTTCCTCAGATTCCTCTCTAAAGCATGCACTTCTCACCTTAAACTTAAACCCTGTATTCTTAGGCATGTCTACCATCAGGAAAAGATTTTAACTATTGACCCTATCTATGCCTGTCATAATTTTGCACACCTCAACCAGATCTCACCTTCAGCCTCCTCTGCTCCAGGGAAAACAAACCCAGCCTAACCAGTTTTTCCTCATAACAGACTTTCATCCCAGGCAAAATCCTGGTGATTCTCCTGTGCACCTTCTCTAGTGCAATCACATCCTTTCAACAGTGGGGCAACCAGAACTGCACACAATATTCCATTTATGGCCTAACCAATGCTTGATAAAGTTGCAAGAACATTTCCCTGCTTCTATATTCTACACTGTGACTAATGCAGGCAAGGATCCCGTATGCCTTCTTCACCATCCTGTCTGTGTGCGCTGACACCTTCAGGAATCTATGGACTTATACACCTTTCTTCCTCAGTATTCCCAAGGAATCTCCTATTCACTGTGGAAACTTTTTCCTTAGACCGCCCAAAATCGATTGCCTCACACTTATCAGGATTAAATTCCATTTGCCATTGCTCTGCCCAATTTACTAGGTGATCAAAAGCAGACTGTGGTCTGAGACCATCCTCCTTACTATGAACACCACCACTAATTTCATGTTATCGCCTAGGATGTTACTCAGTATGGCAGAAAACAAACTCTTCTCATAACGCTACTAACAAAACATTGGATGGGGAAGGCATTCCAGGAAGTGAATGTGAAATTTATATTAAGTTTTATAAAATAGATACTTAATGGTGAATTACAGAGGCTCATAATCAATGATCAAAACTACAGCAGAAGAACCACAGAAACCTGGGGAAATGGCACAAATGCCATTTTTGGTGTTTCGTCACATCTGTTCTGGCTTTTCCTTGAAATTATAGTATGTAAGTGGGAGAATCCAGCAGGAAAGGGGCCTCTCTGTAGGGGGCGTGAAATACGCACAGAAGGACAGAGCACAGCATTGCAAGCTTGATAGGGATTTCAGATTGTGAACGTATTCTGCAACATCTGCATCCTTGGATAGATGGCAGCAGATAAAATGTCTTATATCAGAATACATTTACCTCCAACAAGAAGCACTTCATGTCTAGACCTCGTAGAGGGAACTCTACATATGTATCTATCTTATTTCGCAGATAAGCTGTCCAATGAAACCTTTTTAGATGCAAGCATAACACCTAAGGTTAAAAGGAAAATAAAATTAATTTTTTTGAAAAGTGTTAAGAGTAATTCAGTTACATACTTCATATTGTAACAGCTCTTTTCAACATATTCAACTTGCTAAACTAGTACAGAAATGGCCTAACATTTATACTATGATCCAAATGTTAGAATGAATCATGTTTCCTTAAAATTAATCTGCTGAGTTTCATATCCATTTTAGATTCATTAATATTTAATTCACTGTATAGAACAGCAGCAACTATCACATTTCACTTTCTAGTGCAACAACATGATGGGCACCATCACATTCCAAAATACAAGATCACATCCTTCAGTGGTTTCAATGAACATACCCAGAATTAAAGAAACTGTTGAATCACACGAATTGAAGCAATGATTTTTTTTCCAGATGTCTCTCTCAGTCCTCATACTGCATGGAACTGTGCTCAGGACAATCTGATACTTTGGTCCATTTGGTGGCCCATACGGGTTAAGGTAAAGTCGTCACAGTCTCACCGGACGTATAGGGATGCTCTCTAATGAGAGAGAGAGAGCGAGATGACTGAGATGACTGAGATGACTGATGGTGGCTTAACCTGAGGGTCTCCACACCTCAGGCAAGGGGAAATGTCGAGGAGGAGAGCCCTTCACGGTAACCTCAGCCAGTGCAAGAATTGAACCCATAGTGTTGGCATCATAGAATCCCAAGTGCGGAAAAAGGCCATTCGGTCCATTGAGTCTGTACTGGCCCTCTAAAGACATCCAAACCAGACCCAGTCCCCAGCCTAACCCCACTACCTGCATTTACTATGTCTAACCCACCTAACCTGTACGTCCCTGGACACTACAGGGAAATTTATTATGGCCAATCCAACTAACCTGCCTACCTTTGGACTGTAGGAAGAAACCAGAACACTTGGAGGAAACCCACACAAATACTGGGAGAATGTGCAAACCACACACAGTCACCCAAGGCTGGAATTGAACCAGGGTCCCTGGCAGTGAGAGGCACTGCCCCACTGAAATGTGTCACATCGCATCACAAACCAGCCACCCGGCCAACTGAGCTAACTGACTCCCCAAGCAGTCCATAATTAAAATAAGAGAAAATGTGGTGGGCATAGACCCAGAATGATACATAATAATTGCCATTTTGTAAGATTAAGTAGAACAAGATTCCCTTTATGCTGATTAGCAAGAAATTAAGCTGCAGCATTGGCGGGAATGCATTTCAACCTTTAATAAAACTAAAACCTCAATGAATAAAAGTTGCACCAAAGGAACACGCAGACTGGAATAAGAGTTTGAATATAACTTTATTTGCTTTGGCGGCTTTAATTAGTTACAGCTTTCTTTCAACATTCTTTGCAAACGTGGATTAGTCGATTTAAAACTAATATATCACTCCATTATGTGATAGACAGAATGTTTCTGAGCATCAAGATGAAGGTTATTTGACATTCGCCTGTGCTGCTTGTGAATTAGGAGTCTATTAATTGCAAGGTAAAGCTCCCAATACAAAACCTGTTCTAGTCATTCATTGCAAAGAGTGCCAACAGGTTTGTTTGCAGTTTTGAAGATTTAAGGGTAAAAAGCTTTAACCATAATTTTAATGTTGAGATTTAAAAATAGAGAATTTTCATGTTGGAGCAAGTGCAAGTTGGCAGGATTTTGCTAACACAAAGCACAGAGTCAGCTTGATGGAGTACAGCTTCAAAAGAGAATTAAACTCAGATTTAATGAATTTCTTTCATTCCTTCACAGAAAGTTGGTGTCACTAACAAAGCCAACATGTATTCCCACCCCTAATTGCCCTTGAGAAGCTGGTAATGATGATGGTCTATATGGTGCAGGGGTAAGTACAGTGCTATTGAAGAATAAAGAACAAAGAACAAAGAAAATTACAACACAGGAACAGGCCCTTTGGCCCTCCAAGCCTGCGCTGATCCAGATCCTCTATCTAAATCTGTCGCCTATTTCCAAGGATCTGTATCCCTCTGCTCCCTGCCCATTCATGTATCTGTCTAGATACATCTTAAATGATGCTATCGTGCCCACCTCTACCACCTCTGCTGGCAACGCATTCCAGGCACCCATCCCCCTCTGCGTAAAGAACTTTCCACACATATCTCCCTTAAACTTTTCCCTTCTCACCTTGAAATCGTGACCCCTAGTAATTGAGTCTCCCACTCTGGAATAAAGCTTCTTGCTATCCACCCTGTCTATACCTCTCATAATTTTGTAGACCTAGGATTAAGTTCCAGGATTTTGCCTGAGCAACTATGAAACAATACTCCAAGTTAGGATGGTATGTAGCCTGAAGGGGGATTTGTAGGTTGTGGTGCTCCATGCATTTGCAGAGTTTGTTATTCTCAAATGGTAGAGGTTGCAAGTTTGGAAGATTTTTTGAAACAGTCTTGGAGAATTGCTGCTGTGCTTTTGTTTTTTATATAGCACACACACCTTTGCCATTTCGCATTAGTGGTGAATGGAGTAAACTTTTAAGCTGGAGAGATAGTGGAACATGGTGCCAATCAAGTGGGCTCCTTTGTCTTGCTTACTGGGATACTTCTGGAGTGTTTTTGGAATGGTACACATCCAGCCAGTGGGGAGTATTCACACTCCTGATTTGTGCCTTGTTGGTGGTGGACGGATGTTGAGGCATCAGGTGGGTTACTCAGCAAAAAAGATAGGGAGAAGAGTAAAGAAGGCTGTCTAGCTCTGCTAATAAAAAATGAGATCGGTAGTGAGGAAAGGTGTTGGCTCAAAGATCAAGAGTTGAATAGGTTTGGATAGTAACAATAAACAGCAAAAGAAAGTGGTGCCCGTTGGGGTAACTTACAGGTCCCATATAAATCAACAACTAACGGGGTCTGGTGAGAAAGGTTCTACGAGAATTGTGGGCAATCTTAATCATGTAAATTGGGTTAATAAAATACAGTGGTAGTGTTAAGGCTCAGCTCAGAGCACATGTGGGACAGTTTCTTAAAACAATATACCCTGGAACCAATCATGGATCGGGTTATTTCAGAGTCGGCTATGTGTAATGAGACAGGATTAATTAATAGCCTCGAGGCCATTTTGGTAACGGTGATTACATCATGATGAATTTCACATTCAGTTTGAGGGTGAGAAGTTTGGGTCTGAAACTAGTACGTAAACTTGAACGTAACTACAGAAGTGCGAAGATAGAGTTGGTTGCAGTGGACTGGGGAAAATAGGTTGCAAGGTAAATAGTAGACAAATAAGTTAGTAGAAACTAAGGAAAAATTAAATTAAGAGTGAGAAATAAGAATAAGAATAAATAAGCACAAAATATAAAAAATAGACAACGAAAGCTCTACAAGGAACTAAAAAGGACGAGAGTAGCTAAAGTAAAACATGGTGCCTTACATGTTAACAGTAAGCAAGTATTAATGGAGATAAGCAGATACTTTGAACAAACAGGAAATTGTAGGTTAGTTAATCCAACATTTTTGTAAGAAAAATGCTGAAAACCACAATTAAAGAAGTAATAGTAGGACAGTTCAAAAATCATAATCCATTCAAGAAAGTCAATATGATATGTGAAACGGAAACTGGGTTTGTCAAATTCATTACAGATTTTGAAGAACATAACAAGCAGGTGGAAACCAGGGATTTAGTAGATAGTAGTATTTGAAGGTCCAGAAGACATTCAATAAATCATATACAAGGTAAGAAAGTTGGGGTAATATATTAGCATTGGTAGAGAATTAACTAAAGTCAGGGAGTGGGGATCCATACATAATTCACAGGTTGGCAAACCATAGGTAGTGCAATGTTGCAGGCATCAGCACTTTCAATTACTTACAATTTATATGAATGGCTTGGACGAAGAGACAAAGTGCATTGGAGCCATATTTGGTGATAATATATAGATAGGCATGTAAACAAATAGTGAGGACATAAGGCGCTTAATTTTATCCTCCTCCAGGGAGGAACTGGTTGATGGACAGGGGTTGCATGATTGCCCCGTGGCTGATCACACGTGCACTCCCCTTCAAAGACTACTTCACATTCCCCCGGCCAATCCAGCTTCCCAACTCTCCTTGCCAAGGTCAGGCTGGCCTGGTTCTGTAGAACCCATCCCAATTGTCGTTGTGAACTGGCTGTAGTTTAAGCATTAGCTATCACACCAGTGGCAGTGCTGGGACAGCGAGCTGCTACAAATTTGAGTTCCTCTTCAAATGGGAGAGAAAGTCTCAGCTCAAGCCAAATAATGTCCCATGGTGTGTTAAACAGCAGCATAGAAACCTGAAGAGGTGAAAGGTTTCTCTCGACATCTGGAGGTAGTCAGGTGGGGTGTGGAATTGATGGAAGGGAGCTCGGTGCAATGCAACGTGTACCGCATCAGATGCGATTCATAGAAGGTTCACTAGGTTGCTTCTAGGAATGTATTATGAGTACAACTGATTTGTGCTCTGATCTGATTGAAATTGGCAGGATGTGAGGAGCTAATTAAAGGATGTTTTCCTTTCTGATAGAAATCAGTGAAGATAGATATCTGCACCTCCTCCACAATATCACTCTCAACACTGAAGCCCCCCATGAATGTGTCCTCAGCCCCCTGCCGTGCTCCCTGCACACCCATGACTGTGTTGCCAAATTCTGAATGAACACCATCTACAAGTTCACTGACAACTCCACCATAGTGGGACAGATAGCTAACAATGATGAGTCAAAATACAGAAGGGAGATAGAGGGCTTGGTGATGTGGTGCAATGAAACAATCTCCATTTCAAAATCAGAAAAACTAAAAGAACTGCTAATTGATTTCAGAAAGAAAGGAGGAGAACACACCCACCTATATCAATGGAACTGAGGTTGACGGGGTGGAGAACGTCAAGTTCCTCGGAGTGGTGATAACCAACCTGTCCTGGACTGCCTACGTCGATGCAACGGTCAAAAAAGCAGAACAATGCCTCTTCTTTCTCAGGTGGCTCAGGAAATTTGGCATGTCCTTAAGGACCCTCGCCAACTTCTACAGATGCACATTGAAAGCATACTGTCGAGGCGCATAATGGCCTGGTACAGCAAATGCTCTGCCCAGGACCGTAAGAAACTACAGAAGTTGGTGTGCATAGCCCAGACCATCACGTAAGCCAACCTTCCATTCATGGACTTCATGTACATGGCTCATTGCCACGGAAAGGCTGCCAACATCATCAATGACCCATCACACGCCGGTAATGATCTTGTACAACCTTTTCCGTCATGCAGAAGTTACAGAAGCCTGAAAAAATGTACCAGCAGGTTCAGGAACAGCTTCTTCCCGGTTGTTATTAGACTAATGAATGGACTCTCTAGCCCCAAATAGTGATGATCTTGCCAATGTTGATTTCGCCTAGCGCACGCTCTGTGCAAATTTAACTGTATGCCTCAGTCTAAGTCGTTTTGATCTGTACATCTTTGCCTACTATGATCTGCCTGTATGCTCATAAACAAAGCTTTTCACTGCACTTCAGTACACGTGACAATAAAATCAATGAAAAAAATCCAATCTGGAATTGAAGGCCCACGGATTAGAAAACAAAGGGCCTTTCATTTAAGGCCGAGATAAGGGAGAATTTCTTCTGTTTGAGAATAGTTAATCTTTGGAATTCTCTACTCCAGACAGTAGTGAAGACTGGCTCATTGAATATATCCAAAGCTGAGTTGGATATATATTTATCTGATAGGAGTCAAGAACAGAGTATTATTTAAATGAAGAAAAGCTATAGAAAGCTTCAATACAAAGAGACTTGTGGGCACTTGTACACGAAACACTGATCTAGCACACAAGTGCAGCAGGTAATCAGGAAGGCTAATGGAATATTTGCCCTCATTTCAAGGGGGTTGGAGTACAGATAGTTCTGCTGTAACGCGTGTTTCATTAACGCAAATTGGCTGTAATGCGATTGATGAATAGTGGACACTATTTGGATAACACAAACTTTCTGCTGTGCAGGTATATTGATTCTCTATAACGATTTCCCTGTAGTGTGATTTTCTATGGCGATTTTCTACAGTGCAAGGTCACACAAGAACACAACTATTGTGTTATAGAAGAACTACCTGTATAAGAGCAGGGAAGTCTTACTGCAACTGTACAAAGTGCTCGTGAGGCCACATTTGGAGTCCTGAGAGCAGTTTTGGCCTCCTTATTTAAGAAAAGATATCTTTCCATTGGAGATAGTAAGAACTGCTGATGCTGGAGTCTGAGATAACACAGTGTGCAGCTGAGGAACATAGCAGGCCAGGCAGCATCAGAGGAGCAAGAAAGCTGATCTTTCAGGTTGGGACCCTTCTTCAGA